ACTCATATTCATCCTGGAGTCAATCCTGACTCCAAGATCCCTCTCTGCCTCTGTGCTGCCAAGAGGGTCAGCCCCTAACCTATAACCATAATGCTGCTTCCCTCTCCCCAGGTGCAGCACCCTGCACTTGTCCTTGTTGAACCGCATCCTGTTCAGATCCGCCCACTTCTCCAACCTATCCAGGTCTGCCTGGATGCGGTCCCTGCCTACCGGTGTATTCACTTTACCCCACAGCTTGGCGTCATCAGCGAACTTGAACAGGGTGCTCTCCACACCCTCATCCAGGTCGCTAATGAAGATGTTGAGCAGCACTGGCCCAAGGACCGAGCCCTGGGGGACTCCGCTGCCCACACCCTCCCAGGTCAACATCAACCCGTCCACCACCACCCTCTGGGAGCGCCCCTGGAGCCAGCTTGCCACCCATGTGACCGTGCATTCGTCAATGCTGCAGTCCCTCAGCTTGCCCACCAGAATTGGGTGGGACACCGTGTCAAAGGCCTTCTGGAAGTATAGTATCAGTCCCATTCTTAATAACCCTCAACTACATGATTTGAAGGAAGAAGGGTAGCAGGCCTATCTAGATTGTTCCCACCCTGAAAGTAGAGAGTAGAGCAGGGGTTAGCAACATTTTTGGCTGGAGTGCCCAAATCACCCCAACCTCCACCCATGCCTCGACTTGGGTACCAAGATGGGGGAGCCATAAGGGGCCCAATTTTCATTGCTGGTGGTGGTTGCACAAATGCCTCCAGGCTTCAAGCCACATGTGCATGGACCACCACCACAGAGCCAGTGCCAGGGCTGCAGAGTCCAGTGTAGCTGTTTGCTGCCTCCCAGCTGCCTGGCCTCTAGCAGGCAGCCAAGAGGCTGCAAACAGCTGTCCTAGGGTCTGTAGCCCTGGCACTGTCTCTGTGGCAACTGTGCACGCACCTCTGGGCAGATGGCAGAATAGGAGCTAGGGTTGTGTTGTCCCAGCCCTTTCCCTACCACGCATTGTGAGCCATTTATGCATCTGCTGCCCCCACCAGAGAGCAGGTGCTGGGGCTCTGAAGCCCAGTGCAGCCTTTCGCAGCCTCTCAGCTGCCTTCCACAACTTGCCCAGGCTCAGGGCAGCTGTAGCAGGTGGCTGGAAGGCTGCAAACAGCTGTACCAGGCTCCACAGTCCCAGCACCAGCTCCATGGAGGTGGCAGCTGTACATGTGCCTCTGGGCAGGTGGCATGGGAGGAATCAGGGTTACGCTGCCCTAGGACCCTTCCTGGCCAATGCACCCATTGGTACGAGCACGGCTGCCACAGCCGTGGAACTGGTGCTGGGGCTGCAGAGCCCCATGCTGCTGTTTGCAGCTTCCCAGCTGCAGCCAGCCTCAGCTCTGGGCAGCTGTTGGCAGAAGTTGCCCAGTCTAGGTTGGCTTTAGCATGCCAAGGAAAATGGTCTTGCATGCCATGCATTGCCAGTCTGTGGTGTAGAGCTTCTGTATTGGAAAGCGTGCTCTCTTCAAAGGTTTGAGTAGAAGCCCACTGTTACTGAGGTATAAAACATTAAGGCAAGACAATAAAATCAAATGAAGCGTCAGAAATTTTATTTTACTCAACAAAAGCTCAGTTTTGCCAATGCAGATAAGAACAGAAATAAAATGGGAGTAGATACAGTATATTATCATATACTACATTGCTATTCAACTAGATGAAGAAAAGCAAGCTGCTAGTATGACTTAAAATACCTCATTCATTCAGATCAAAGAATGGACTCTTGCCATGGCTGGCCATCCATCACAGGGCAAGGAGATTCACTAGGCAGAGAAATCTGGAGCCAGTTCATTGTTAGCCCACCCAGCTGTGGACCTCACATTCTTTGTAGGGGTCAGTTTTCTCCACTACTTTGATGCTGCAGGCGTCCTTGTTGAAAACCACTTTGC